CGCGCCCCCCCCCCCCCCCCCCCCCCCCCCCCCCAAGACTCTCCGATTTCTTGAACAGTTGTTATTTTCTTGCCATTGTCGCAAAAAAAGGCATTGACAATAAAGGCGAGTTGCGCCGAGTTTCCTGCAAGTTGTCTGGCCGGGCCAGACTGGTATCAAGTGACGGCTATGATATGTAGTTTCTGCAGCTGGAAAGGATCAATCGGCCCAACAGCATCTTTTTTTCGTCAGGGCGCTGCAAAAGCCCCCCAAGTGGGCCGGATCCTTTACCTGGGATCAACCCCATAGTGCTCTTGATTCTTTGCCCTTTTTGTAGAATACTTGTACTATTTTAGACTCGTGTCATGTTGTTGGCTCGGCAGTTGAGCCGCTTCTCTCTTTCGATTTGATATATAACCCCCCAGTCTAGACCACGTAATGACATGTTGACACCTGACGGTTGTCAAACCCGCACGTGTCACAATAGGATCGTCATGTTGACCCAAAGTCTAGTCTGTCGCCGGTGGAACAGAAGGATCTGGGAGCATCCTCCTCTCGGCAGACGAGCGAGGACAATGCAATACAATACAACACAATGCATGATTTTGCTTGCAAGAGGCATCCTTTGTTCATCTAATCAAGGGTACGTATGACCCGGCCCCATCGCCGTGGACAAGTCCTCGACGCTGTGTATTTGTCATGCGCTGCGCCGCCCGCTGTTGTGAAACGTGGCTCAGCCGCGTCTCATACGCTTCAACACTTCAACCAAGCATGCGGACCAAGTCGTTTGCCTTGTTGCGAGCTTCTGCTTTGGTCCAAGTGGCCGTCTCGGCGGCTTTAAATACACTAAAAGCGATGGCCAGGCTTCCCTTGACCCTTTCTCGTATGCTTCCCCTTGGCCCCCCTTGTCTTCCTGATTAGACAAAATACATTGGTACCGTACCTGCTTTTGTTTGAACAAACTGCAGTCGAGAGCCCGTTGCGATTAAACTAAAGTTATAGAATGCAGCAAAATTCATGCGTCTCTCTATCGATTATTTCCGTTCCATCATCCGCGTCCACGGCCGCGTCAACCGACTGGGCATCTCCCTCTGTTGCCACCGCTTCAGCTGCTTCCGCTCCCGCCTTCTGCGGCAATGTGAGCCACGGAATCTCCCGTAGTTTGGCTGGGGCCTCTGGCCAACACGACAAGTGCTGCACGAGCTTGGCCATGGCAAAGGTGGACCGGTAGTCTTCAATCAACTGCCGGAGCTTCTCCTTGGTCGCCTCGTCGTCCGTGACGCACCACGCAGCTACGATGGCCTGGGGGACGTGGTGGGCGGCCAGCGGTCGCTCCTGCTTGGCTCTCTCTGCGAGGATGATGGCATCGGCGCAGAATATTGACCGCTGGCTGACTAGGAGTATGTTGCTTGGGTTAAAGGCGCGCAGCAGCGCGTTGAGGGTGATGCCAATGGCAATGAACAGGCCGTGTCGTTCGTTGCATATGATGCCGTCGTAGGCGTTCCAGCACGACGTTTCCCTGTTGGCGCTGATAAAGACCTTGACCTGCAGGTACTGATCCAGAATGTAGCTATAGATCCAGTGGATTTGTTCCTTATTCTCACTGGGGTGCCTTATCAGGTCCGGGAGCATGGCAAACACGCGGAGCTCGCAGGTGGGCAGGCGAGACATGGCCTGGATGTCCAGCAGAGGCCGCAGCGGCTGTTCAGGCATGTCGTATAGTTCCTGGATCCATGGGTTGAGCTTCACATTCGGGTTGAAGACGCTGTCTTGTAGCTAGAGTACAGAACCATTAGCCTCGTACACCTCTACATGATGAAAGTCACGGGTTCCGTTTGCTGCACCAGGTACTTACTAGATTTGCCGTTATCGCGTAGCATATCCCGCGGAGGAATAAGTCTTTTAAATCTTGACATGCTATATTACTTATCAGGTACACCAAGCCTTCGGCATGTCCACGAGACAGCTTGGCATTTCGCCCCTGCCATATGTGGCATTCGGACAGGATGTACGCCGCACACAGGGTGTCGGAGCGGTATCTTGACAATGGATTGGCAATCGAGGCCTCGAGCGCCTTGAGGCCAGAGGCGTACAGCTGCAGCGACCTGGGGTTCAGCTGCTCCGATGGCGATTGCCGCGTCTCGAGAAGACTGGTGAAGGCGGCGAGGGAGGCGTCGAGGGCCGGCGAGTAGCCGATGCGGCGCGGCAGCTCCCCAAACACGGACAGGCGAAAGGGCTTGAGGTTGTAGCCCTGGTGGGTAGAGGCCAGGAAGTAGACCAGCGTGTCGGCGACTCTGTCGTTGCCGTTGCGCAGGGGCGACTTGGGACTGCCGGTGGTCAAGGGCGTCGCGTGCTCGACGAAGCGACTGACGACCTTTTGGCTGTGAGCAGGACCCCCCGACGACGACGGCGGCGGCGACGTCGACTGGTTGATAAACTTGAAGCGCTGCTGGCCGACGCCGACGCAGGCAATGTTCCTGGTCCTACAGCGCGAGCATGGCTGTCCAGGCTGGGTGCTATCGCACTAGATGTCACCGTGGATGTTAGTCACGGCAGAGGCGAGGATGGAGGACGGAGGATCGAGGATGGGGGCCGGCGTCTGGTGCTTGGTGTTGTACCTTCTTTTTCCATTTACGACACGAGTCGCAGCCGCGGTATGATCCTATGACTGGCATTGCATTTGTTCGCTTGATCTACCTGCAAGTGACTATGCGGGCTTTTTGCATGTTTCTCTATGGCCCATCCGTGTCAAAACTTGAACCGAATTCACTCGACGGCGTAACAGCGTCGCGGTTGAAATGGGGGGGGGGGGGGAACGAA